TAGTTAACTTTTATTGCAATGTACATACATGCAATGTTTTGAAAAAGAATTAAGTAATCAACTTGGTTAATAATAATGACGTCATAATTGAAAAGAAAAAGTTAGCTTCTGCAATTTAATTGAGTTGCGCTTAATATCTTATCATGATAACAATCTGGGTATACACGGGGTGTTACAAATATCTCAACAATAATGAATTAGGGGGCCATAACTAGGGGTGAAAGTGAATCAGGCCGGCCTACGGCCTGACCTATATCAGGCTAGGCTTGGCCTATTACATATAGTCAAATAGAACAGGCTTGAGCTTTTAAAGAAGCCTATTTAGAAAGTAGGCGATAGGCTTTTTTTACATGTCGAGCCTCTAAGCCTACATGCCGTCCTATATCATATTATTTATTTTAAATAAAATAAAATAATATTATTCATAGTAGTACCAAATATGATAGTTCAGTTGATGTATGTAAGCTAAGTAGGTGGTGGAAGGACTAAGGTTTATTCCCTCACCAATACTATCTTTGAGAGTGGCATAAAATCTGTATCAATCTCTACAGTATCATCAGAATCAACATTTAGCGCTGGAGAAATAGTTATTAATGCCTATCGTTCTGACTTAGCTGAAGATACCATCCAAGCTTTAATATACAGCGAAGATTAGCTACGTAATAGGTATGACTTGAAGAAAAAACAAAAGGTATAAATTTAATCAATTGAAATTATTTTATAATTTAATTATATTCGATTACATTTTAAAATAAAATTGACTTTATTTTTTATGTAAGAGGAACCAACATCTCAACATATGAGATTGCCTATATAAATCTATTAAAAGATTTTTTGTTTCTTAATCTTTTTTTTTATTCTTTATTCTTGTTTTTTGTTTTCTACACTTACAAATTGTTTGCCAACTTATGTAATCTTGTTATTGTATTTGTAGGGGAGAGAAAATAAAGAGAAGTTTTTGGCTACTACAAGCATCATGATGTGTTTGTTAGATTCATGTAATTATTTTAATTTACATGGTATAGCTTTTGTAAAGAACCTTGAGGTCACCACCCCCAAAAACTAGCTCAAAGGGTGAGAGTGCCCAAGACCTTATAAATTCCACATTAGCTGCACATACAACCAATGTGGGACTATATATCTCAACAGCTTTGTTTGTTGGATCCGATTTAGTTTGAGCATTTTGCTTTTGAAAGTGACTTAAATGCAAATTGTGAAGAGTTTTGTTGTGATTCCCGGTTCTGTTTGGACGTTGAAATTATGATTTTTGTTTAGGCAACAAAATTTGAGTATTTTGTGAAATTGATTCATGATTCTGCTTGGAAGTTAAAAATTAAGAGGCTAACGGGTCAAGGCAGGCCATTTTTTTTATAAATGGGCCAAATCAAGCTAACAATTAAACTCGTACTAAGACTTTTCGTGGCAAAATTCGGCCAAATCTAGCCCACTTTCACCCTTAGGTGGTGTTTGGTTGAAGGGTTTTTGAAATTATCCCATGCAAATGAAGTTGACATTCTGGAAAGCACTTGTTTGGTTGACAAAGAAATGGCTGAATACCCAGGCAAGCATGATGCATAGCATTTTCAATTTTGTGAAAGAATGCTAGACTTTGGCACTGTTTAAAAAGCATTGTTGGAGGGGATTTTATTATGATAGCCGACTAAACCACATGGCCCCACAACAAATCAGACCATTATACCCCACAACAAATCGATCATTTTCAATTTTAACAAGAATGCTTTGGAACCACTTACATGCCCTGCCATGCCCTTATATGAAAAGGAGGAAGCGGATCTGCGCATTGTGCTTCAGGATGGTGACCTTGGCTTTCTTTCTTTTTTGTTTCTTATCGTTTTGGATCTTTGGTGCTGATACTGAGTATTGACCGACAATTCTTCTCTTTTTTTTCATTTCCTTTTATATTAACCTCCCACGCATCCTTCTCTGTCTCTCTGCTCTCCTTTTTTGAATTTGCAACAAATTGAAGATGATGTCGAAAGTGATTAAACATGTTCACTTGCTGGATAATATATGTCCACGAGGTGTTTGTAAAAATGACTAAAACACAAACTTAATAAAGATAGGGGGAATCTTAACTAATTATTAGATGGTACATAGACTTTACAGTTATTTTAAAAGCAGGGACATTTTTGTAATTGCCACTTATTTCTCCATCTATATTTTACTTCAAACTAAACATAGACTTTATAAATCTTACATAATTTGCCCGGTTAAATTTTTTCTAACCAAACAACTTTTTTTACATTTTCCTACCAAACTCATTTTTCAACAATTTTCCTAATATTCAAAAAATTTCTCTTCAACCAAACGCTCCCTTATGCATATCTGATAGGTCCCGGAAATTCCCAAGTAACCATGTATACTGTTGGTTGACATCTAATCTCCCAGTTAAAGCACTTTGTACTCACGCCCTTCAAAATCCAAGTTGTTCTGGCCCATTCTAAAATCTATATTCTACAGGACATTCATACCATGTAAGGCTGTCTGAAACACTCAAAGAAAGTTTGTCTGTATCTCTTTATAAGTAACTAATTATACATCACTAGACACTAGTATCTGTTTCAAAAAAGAAAATAATTAGTGACATTTCCGACGTGGCTAAAGTTGCTCAAATTCAACAAGAGGCCGTAAGGCCAATATTAGTAAACAAATAATAATTTAGGTTCTTTGCGCGATTCTGCTGCCGTTGATGATTTGACCACACAAACAAGGTTCAGGGCCTTAGTCTCGGCACTTTTTTTAAAAAATAATTGTATAAACAATATTTTATATCATTATTATATTAATTTTTAAGTGTATGGAGTTACTTTAGATTTATATATACAAAATTATTTAATATTAATATCGCTATACTCTTTGTAATCTTTTTTTATTATTATTAAATTGAAAATTAAACATGTTGGATCTCCTAGTGTGAACTATCGGGCCTCGTAATTGAGTGGTTCATGTTTTGCTGTATTTTTTTTTTAAGCCTATTTTTGTTTTGCTTTTTTTTTATTAAAAAGAAAACTGAATAGGTATAGAAATAGGCTAGGCATGCTCCGAAGCTTATGTCCTGACTTACATAAGGTCTAGCTTGATGTAAGCCTCTTTACTAAATAAGTAAGGCCAAAGTTTTTTTTATTAAAATCTATTTAATTAAAAAAATTTGACTTTAAAGCATCTTTTTTTTTAAATTTTAATGGATTGTTTATTTGAGTGAATGTAAATAATATATTATTATTATTTTGTATTATAATATTTTAAAATCATATATTTGTTGGCCTATTTAAAGGCTGCGACTTGTTGGTTTAGATAAAAATAATTTTATGCCCATTGACCTCTTTAGATATAAATATATTAACTTATTTAAAAGTTTTATAATAAAGTAAGCATTTTAATAAACTTTTAGCTCAAGCCGGATCTTAAAAAAATATAAAAATCTTATGTCAGGTCAGTTTTAAGCTTAGGTTTGAGAAATAAATAAAGCCAATATAAGATACGGCTTAACCTAATCCAATTCCAATTTTAATTGCAAAGATTATTTTTAATTTGTTTTATACAATAATAACACCGAAATTTAATATATAATATCGTACAAATTATTCAAGCACATACCATGGCCCCAGTGATGATACCGGCATTTAACTCACCTAAACATTTATTTACTAAAAAAAATTATTAACCTATTCATAGTGGCTTTCAGCCATTTTCAAATACTATACATTTTAAACTTCTGTTAAGCTTTATTTTGTTAATCGTCCACCCTCTATAATTATGATTGAAAAATTTCGCTAAATTTCTGTGGATCATAAAGTCCTTACTAGGCATAAGTCTTCTAGGCTATACATATGACTTATTATTTTAATTCTCTAGTGGACTTCACTTATACATAGTGGTGTATTCATGGAGAGACATGGATAGGCTGTTGCCTCTCCCTTTTAATAGTATATATATAATGATATTTTCATAATAATAATAATAGATTATATGTCTTAATAGTTTCCTAAAAATATTTATGATAATTAATCTTTTTATTAGTCTTAATAATATTTTTGACTTTAATATTTATTTCCGTCCCATAACATAAAAAATCCCTTTACTTATACTTATACATAAGCATACCAAAGTATATTTTATGTTTTTTTTTTCTTACACTTCTATCTTTCATTTCGGTCTTATATTAACTTGGGAGTAGTGTGTTTGTTAACTACTCTCATATCGTTTCCAATTGATTGATCGTCATGGCCAACTGATGCAAAATTATCTCACATTTTTTTATATTAAGCAACCTTGGACCACCTTTCAATTGAGAACGAAACGGTTTCATTTTTCCCAAACTGGGAAGAAAGAAGTCTTGGGTGGCAATGTTAGTTAACATTGATACTTATTATGTCCCTGCAATAAAAAGAGATACCTTAGTTCCTTTCACTAGTCAGGTTAGGCATAAACTTGTGCAATGTTATTCTATCCTCTTAGAACAACAAAACAAGTTCGTATTTTCTTCGCAGGTTTCCCATCAAGACTCATTTATTCCCTCAACCTTTTCAATCTGCCCCTTTCCACGGGTCAACTTGTCTTTAGGGTTGTCTCAAATACAATGAAAATTCAAAAGTGCATTCGCCTTTCCCCCGCTTAAGACTCTTACGTTGTTGGACAACTTTTTCTTGAGCCACAGATAAATGTGTTATTCCCTTTTTCTTTTAAAATGATATATCCCACGTATTTATCTTTACAACATAAGATATTTTATTTTATGTAACATACGATTATTAGGACCCTAAAAGTTATATCTTCTTTCTATAAAAAGAAAATAAAATTAACAGATTAAAATATCTCATGTAACAAAAATAATCTAAGATATCATAAAAGATGAATCCTTAGGGCTTAGCCCATGGGATTGAACTTAGCTTTCTATACTTTCTTTTTATACATACATATGCAAATCAAAGAATAAAAGTACATGTATGAATGAGGAATGGAAAAGGTGAAAAAAAAATCTAAGCACATAAAAATAATATCAACGAGGCAAGAGCCGAATAGAGGGTCCATTTAGAAAAATGGGTTACGGACCCAACAGCAAGATTGGAAGAATCCTCAGATTGCAACAAAGAACCAAAGGTGAAATTGGGATTGGAGCCATAAAGAGCTTGGACTCCCTCCACGTCATCAATCTTCAAGTCCACCTTCCTTGTCCTGGGGCTCAGGCTCGGGTACATCACCGCTTCCTTCACCGATGTATGACCCAGACCAAGCACGTGACCTATCTCGTGCGTAGCCACAGATTCCAAATCAACGGCCACCCTTGACTCATCATGGTCAAAATCAACGGACCACGTTTCAGCCGCATCCAAATGGAATCTCCCATTCTCGGGGGAGAAAGCATGCGCTAAAACCCCCAAAACACCATCAAACGGCTCTCCGTCACCGTGATCGCCCAGGTAAAACCCGATCCGAATATCCGCCGAATCGTACAGCTCGGTCTCCTGAAAACTCACCGGAATCACCGACGCCCACCGCGCAAAGGCACGCTCGAAAACCGTTCGGATTTCCGATAAGCTCAGCCTGTCGATCATGTTGTACGGGGAGAAAGCGTACGTAAGAGTCATCGGAGAACCACGAACCCACCGTGGCTTGCCGTTGAAGTAAGCAAAGTGACGGGTGGCGTGTATTCTATGCGTCGCTGTATCGGAGACGCCGCACCTCGGAGCCACAATCGTTGATATGGTATCGGAATCGAGCTTTCCGGTGGCCGGCAAGCCAAGCCGTTTCTGATAGTGTAAAACGGCGGACTCGAACTGGGTATCAAAGGTGTCCGTGAAATTCGGCGTCGTTTCGGGCGGAGAGAGATAACCGAAACGGTTGAAGTACTTCTTGAGCTCTGACATGCCGCTGACCTGGCTCCCTCTTTCGGCGTGCAGGAACCTTGAGAAGTCGTGCCACGTGGCGTTGTGCGTTTCCGAGGTTATTACGGTTACGGATTCAGGCACGATCCTCGCGGTAAAGCAAGGGCGCCAAAGAAAGAGGGCCACATAGAAAAAGGAGAAGAAGAAGAAGTTAAAGTAACTGAAAAACGGAAACATAACTGTTAATTATGGGTAGTTATGTTGGGGTATGAGACCCGATGTTGCAGGGTAACGAACGAAGAGCTCAATTATGAACCTCGAATAGAAGGAATGTTCCGGAGAAACAGAGTATATAATAAAAGGTATTATCTTAAACTGTGAGTTTATAATCATATATATATATATATATGTATGCGTATGGAGCTAGTCTTTGGTATGATCGAAGCCAAGGAAGTTAATTACGATGATAAAGATAAGAAGATTCTGCCTTTTTTGATGGGAGATCATGACTTTTGAAGTGTGATGGTGGGTAAACTAATGTTGTTTCTGCTTCTTATTAAACTATATTTTAAGTTTGGCCGTTTAATTTTGTTTGCCTCTGCTTGTTGTTGATGACTGATGGAAATTGCAAAGAAAAAAGGCATGGGTTTTAACTTTGAACTCTGAAATTCAGATACGATTTGTTCAAGATTAGTTGGGTCGAAGAACTATACCATGTTGGTTGACCCAATTTGGGGATAAAGGGTTTTAACTTGTCAGATAGGACAAGGACTAGATATTATTTGAGAAATAACTATGTAATTATGTGTGACAAATAATGCCTCCTCCGCTAAATTCCTCAACTAAAACATTCTTTTTATATGATGCTATGCAATCGATTGATCTTGCAATTGATTAAAATAATACTTGAATGTATGATTACCGGTGATTGCGTACTGGTCAGTTCCCAATCGTCTATTTCATAGTGCGTAGCGTACTAATCAAGTTCAAATGTCAATGAAGCTAAAAAGAAAGTCATGGGGGGAAGTCTGGTCAAGAAAACACATTTCAATGTTCAAGCAAACACAACTGCACACTGCACAGCATATCGACGAACTTTACTTTTTTTTTTTTTTTTTTTTTGAAAATATTTCATCAGTTCATCGCTTCGCGATTAGTCTGATTCGGGGCGGGTCCAGGATTAAGACTTTAAACCCCTTCCAAAGGTGGTACTGGGGAGGTTTGAACACATGTCCTCACCCCCACCTGCTCAGCTTCCATGCCCCAACTGAATCGACGAACTTTACTAGTTTAGGTCTAGTCCTCGTCATTTACTATTCCTCTATCTCTCATTTTAGACCACCCAATACCCGTATTTTAAGAGGGGGGGATCTTTTAAATTCTCTGAGCAAATGAATTCAATTTTGTAAAAGAAATAATTGAAAACACAATGAAAAAATAAGCATGAATGAACAGAACAACTAAAGAATACTTTGTTAGCGCAAATAGCAACATGCCGAGACAGGTTGCGTAAATATGCAGTCAAATGGATTTTGTTAATTACAAAATAGTAATTATACTGAACAAAATAGATTATAGCACGTAAGCACACTTTGAAACTAACTGGATTTATTGTATTTTTTTTTTCAAGATTGTGTTAGGTACATGGAGAATGAAGAAGTTGAGGAGATGACCAAAATTAGAAGATTAGAGATTGTTTAGTATTTTGCTTCTTATTCATAACTTGAGCTCTTGTTTTTATTTATAACAAGGACGGTTAAGGTCCAAGTGATCTGTGTATTCGCTTTCAATACGCCATTAGGTTATCTGCATGACGGAAGTACCACTACCCCAGTAATGAATAATTTGTGTCATTGTCATTGGTAATTGGGGGTCCTACATCTCCTCTCTTCGGCAAACTGGGGTTGGAGTTGCTTTCTGGGCCTAACTTTTTTTTTAATTGGATCTTTTAATCCAATGATCGTGTTTCAATGTTGTTGTTATTCGAACGAAAGATGGGAAAGGCAGAAACAAATACAAGCAGTGAAAAAACAAGAGTAATATAACGAAAAATAAAAGAATACGGAGTAAATGAGGAAGAGCAAAAGATTGAGCCGGCGAAAAATGGTGGCATTGGTCTTTCACTTTCTGATCGACGAATTGACTATACTGATCTAAGTTTGACCACATTATTTACACATTGTGCCTTCCTTCATTCAAAAACAGAGGCTTTAACTTTTTCAACCAAACATGTTATTTCTTGTGTTTTTCCCCGTCCAGTTTTTGGCCGAATCAAGAAGATTAGAAGAACATTGATAAATAACATGTGACTGCGCGGAACAGAAACCCAATCAATCATTAATGTCGCCTCGTTTTTGTAAATTACTTTATAAAGCCAATTTTGCAGAATAAGTTAGTTGTAAATTTGTAATAAAGAGTATTCTTATTTCGTTATGAAAAGTGATTACTCTATCCGAAATTATGCTAGCTTATTAATAACATTCTTGTATAACATAATAATAATCATACTTTTTCTTTATTTCTATTGTGAAAAACTCATTATTTGAAAGTAATATTGAAAGTACAAAAATTTACACTAAGATATATTTGGATAACTAACTTTACCAAAAAAGGATGACATATACATTTATCAATTCCCTTCTACAAACTGAAAAGATAAGGGTATAATTCAACAATGAAGTTTGATTAATATAAACTTTATAAGATTGACTAAACTAGATAAAATATAATATTCTCTAAACGTATTAGATGTGGTTTTGACCAAGACCAACAATTAATAATTATTAACAGTTTGCCCCTCCCGCCCAAAAAATATCGTCACTATTTTTTCTTTTTTTTAAATATGATTTAATATTTCTCTGTCTCTCATTATATTCATTTAATGAAATGATAAAAAGTATTAGCAAAGTGAACAACAATATAGTTTACCAAAAAAAAAAGTGAACAATAATATAGTAAAATATATATTTTTAAATAAAGATATTTAATAATTTTTTTAATCTTTGTTTAAAGTTTCTTTAATTAACAATTATTTTGAAATGGATAAAAATTTATATTTAAAATTTATTTGTAAGTATCCCTTGCATGAGTATTTGAATATTTGTAGCATTTTAAAAAAACATAAGTTGTTTACCACAAAAAAAAATATATTTAAATGAAATAAACAGGTGCCTACTAAAAAATTACTCTGCTACGCTCTAGTTTTAGATATACATCTGCAATCAAAAACAAAAGAAAAAAATTGCTCAATCTGTTTTCATTGTAATTTTTCGAAGTTTTTTTTTTAAAAATTAGTTCAAAAACTAAGAAGATTTTTAAAAATATTAATTGTACGAAAACATAAATATACTTTGACTAATTTATCTCATGTAACATGAGAATAATTTTTCCACACACACATATATATATATATATATATCTTTTTTTAAAGCGACAAACAAAGTGAAAGAAAATATATTCCCTAGAAATAAAGGGTTTATCATTTTTCCTATTATATATTGGAGATAAAGTCATATCCGTTGTTAAAATCGAGATTTTAAGTAAAATCGAAAGGGGACAAAAAAATCATAAAAAATAAAATCGTAATGTAAAAAAATCATAAAAACGTTTGGAATATTGGTAATATCGTTTTGATGAAGAAAAAAATCGTAAAAACGTAAAATCGTAATGATAAATCAAGATTTTAACAACTATGGTCATATCCCAATATTACATCATATTGAGGGTTGAGGGAATTAAAGAAGAATATTTTGGTAAAATTTATATAACAAAATAAATAAATAAAATTACTAAAATATCCTTCATTAATTATCTTAATGGCCAAAAAGACGTAGTTTTAAGATTGCTGGATATAAATTTATCTCCTGTAACGGGAGAAACACTTTTTCGAGAAATAAATATTATAAGGGTTTAAAGTTTCTAGAGTTTCTTTACATAACTTTATCTAAGGTTTATCAAAATACACAAAAAAGTGTATGGATTCATGTGGATCCATGTGAAGAGAAGAGAGAAAAAATAAAAACATGGGGCCCACACCTTTTTGTGTATATTTTGATGAATATTAGATAAAGTTATATAAAGTAACTTTAAACTATCTTATAAAATACTTTTAACATTTAAATGGTTGAGAGAGCATCTCAACTAAGAATAACAAGTGACCTAAAATTCAGCACTTAATGTGTGATTCAATACTTAATAGTTTTATAGGATAGAATTTTTTGACATCGGTGTTGAATTAAAAATTTTGACATCAAATCTTAACTATTAATTTCTGTCAATCTAACGGTTATAATTTATCAAAAATTAGTAATTAATTAATAAGTATGATTTAATAAAATATAACTTTTAAATTCACAAAAAATATTACAATGATTAAGATTTGGTGTCAAATTTTTAATTTGACACTGATGTGAAAAGATATTATCCCTAATTTTATAATAAATGACAAATATTTTGTTAGAAATTTGTATAACAAAATGCATTTTCTGACATTATCTTTTAACATATTTTATTTTCTTAAGGATTGGTTCTCGAACTCCACACGCAATAAGTTTTATAGTTTTATATACCAGGATTAGATAAATTATTATTATTTTTCAATAAAAAAAACCACGTATGAAAATGACAGCCCTTTTATACAAAAGATGGAAAAATATATATGAAAAAGATGGGGACAGGAATGACCACGAGAGCTGGTATTTGCATGGTTTTCTTATTATTAAATGGATTATAGTTTTCAAATCTTAAATAAAGTGTAGAGAGAAAACTAAACTCTATATTTTACTAATATATGTAGTAGTCTAATAGGATAGAAATGTACTCCTGGTATAACATAAAGATAATAAAAAAAACATACACAAGGGAAGGGGAGGACGAAAAGATCAACTACTCCCAGCAAACACCAAATAGTAACTAAAACATGATGATAATAACAAATTAAACTAAGGCTGAACTGATGAACAACTCCCTAATCTATAGTTAGCTCAACAGAAAGTAAACAGAAATAGAATCATTGCCTAACATTCTTCTACATGAATTTCATCATGAGGTGCCACTGCATGACTTACTTTCATTTTATATAACTATTTACTTTTCAATTGATTCTCCAATCAAAACAAAACGATCAATTCTCATTATAAAAAGACTATTTAATTCACTTCAGTCAATTTTTCTCTTCAAAATTCACCCTAGAAAATACATAAAGGAAAATATCTTATGTAATATGAGAGCAATACTCT